CAGACTCACACAGAGACACACACACACACACACTCACACTCACACTCACACAGAGACTCACACACACACACACACACTCAGGGCTCATTTGTATTCATGAAGAGATTTAATCCCTAAAATGCTGTTAGAGGAAGGGATGCAGATTTAAACTCAGTTCTGCTTTATAAAACCCACTTTTCAGCATCCAGTCAATTCCTGATGAATTAGATTAGAAAAATTAGATATTTTTCTCATTGAATATTCTGTTCCACTCTGAAATATGTCACATTATCAAGGTAAAATGGATTGTGAATATGCTCATCAGGCTGCATTTATTTGTTCAAAACTACAGTAAAAACGGAAATATTATTCCAGTGTAAAACAGCTGTTTTCTATGTGAATCTCTGTTAAACTGTCATTTATTTCTGTGATGCGCAGCTGTATTTTCAGCATCATTACTCCAGTCTTCAGTGTCACATGATCTTCAGAAATCATCTAATATGCTGATTTGCTGCTCAAGAAACATTTCTGATTATTATCAATGTTGAAAACAGCACAATATTTTTGTGTGATTTCTGAAGATCATGTGACACTGAAGACTGGAGTAATGATGCTGAAAATACAGCTTTGATCGCAGAAAAAATTACAGTTTAACAGATATTCACATAGAAAACAGCTGTTTTAGATTATAATAATATTTCACAGTTTTAACTGTATTTTGATCAAATAAATGCGGCTTTGGTGAGCAGGAGAGACTCTTTCAGAAACATGTATTGCATGAGTGTGATTGTGTTTCTCAGATCAGATCGGGGGGGGTTTCAGCAGGAGGTCGAGGGTTTGATTGAATTTCGTCCCCAGTGATCATGATGTCATGTGACTGTCATTACATGAGGCCAGTCAAACCCTCATAACGACGGCGCTGAGAGCATAAAACACCGCAATTAATCACGCTGACGGCTCACACACACACACGAGCAGATCAACACCATAAACACGCTCACGTGATCATGGATGTGTTTCACCACTTCTCTTACGACAGTATTTACAGAAGAAGACAAATGACACGAGAAGAGTGAAACAGCTCGATCTCTGTATGACGGCTGACTGGAAATAAGAATGATTTGTGATGGCGTTTCAGAGGCGGGTCAAGTTATTATTTATCAGTTTTATTTTATATCTCGCCTCGGCAACGAGCTGAAATAAAATAACTGTTTTAAAGTTGGTGTTTGATTTGCTCAAAATTTATGTATATACAATTATTACAATTTAGTGTTGTCAAAAGTAAAGACGTCGGTACTTTTGACAACACTATTACAATAATTTATAATCAACCACGCCAGGTTTGTTTACTTAGAAAGGTAGAAACAGTATTAGAGTGCATGTATATTTATAAATACATTATATATATATATATATGAGTGTGTGTGTGTGTGTGTGTTTGTCTATATATATTTTATATTTTGAATTACATTTAACATTTTCTGTTTTTACTTTAATTTTAAAGCTTTAGAATTTTTTCTTTTCATTTTAAAAATATTTATTAATTAATTTGATATTTTGTGTTTTTGTCATTTTTAGTATTTTTTTTAAACTATGCCGTTATTGTATTTATTCGTTTTTGTTTATTTCAGTACTTAAAGTTAAACTAAATAAACTGAGAAATATTGCCTTGGTAACCAGTTAAAATAAGATAAGTTAGGTTTAGGTTTTTAATATTTAATTTTATTTTCGTTAATGTTTATTTTTTAAGTAACAAAAAGGTTTTTATGGTTTCAGTTTTAGTTAATGATAATAGCCCTGCTTTAAAGCTGGTGTGTGATTTGTAAAAATAACTTGAATTTTCCAGTTTCTGAAGAAAACAAGTTTTTTTCCTTAGTAACTTACAGTAACATATAGTCGAATTCACTGAGGAAGATACAGGACTCGCATGAACGCTTCGACCCAGTGGTTTAGATTCAGTCTTGTTTGTTTGTACCTGTGTTATAATCAGAGGCGAAGAGACGAGCGCATTCCAGTGTCATGTCTGGGCCTGTTTGTGGCTTTTGTTTCCCAGTGAATATTTTTTCAGAAGCTGATGAAGGATCTGCGCTGGCCTCCACATTCCTCATTACCCTGTGCGTGTGTGTGTGTGTGTGTGTCTGTGTGTCTGTGTGTCTGTGTGTGTGTGTGTGTGTGTGTGTGTGTCTGTGTGTGTGTGTGTCTGTGTGTCTGTGTCTGTGTGTCTGTGTGTCTGTGTGTCTGTGTGTGTGTGTGTGTGTGTGTGCGTGTGCGTGTGCGTGTACGTGTCTGTGTCTGTGTCTGTGTGTGTGTTGCAGTGAGCAGTGTATCGAGGCATATGAGCTGCTGCTGGTGCTGGCTGAGAGTGAACAGGGTCTGGTTTTGGGTCAGTTCAGAGCTGCTGGAGTCAGTGCTGTGGGTAAGACAGACACACACACACACATCTAAATCAGGACGTCCCATACACTTCTGTTGTTTTATGTACAGATAAATACATAACCCAAGAATTCCCAAACTTTTTCATCAGCCGAACCATTTGAGCTCAAATCATTTCTTGGCTCACTGAAATTATAAGTCAATCAACCCTCTACATTGCATATGCGACTAAATCTTCACTCTGGCTAAATGATGTCTAATATTAGCCAATGGCTAGTAAATTCTCAGATTTTACTCGCCAGTGTGTGAGTTGGAGGCTATAAAAGATATATTTTCACTCGCCGAACACTGACTGAGCGCTTCAGAGTTTCACTCTCAGTCAAGCGATCTGTGCTATAAATGCCTTTTATTTTCAGGGCTTGCATTTTTAGGGGCGAAAATCCAACATAGTTGTATATTTCAGCTGTGAATATTTCAATTGAAAACATTTCACACACATTTTCATGACTAAATTTAATTTTCACTTTACAAATTCGCTTCCACATTCAGTGGTTCAAATTCGCTAGAAAAGTCAGCGTTGCACATCCGGGAGCCGCAGGAATAACAGTAGAGCACCGATGCAGGATCTCCAGCTGCTGTCAGTCGCTCACCAGCAGGTGGCGCAAGCGGCCGTTGATGAAGACCAAAGCAACCAGTAGCGCAAGTCATTCATTCATTCATAAAAACTGATTTGAAGGAGTGGAGCAAGCGGTACCTAGAAGTTATGATAATCAGGGCCAGTATATATATGCAGAAAAGCTGATTGTGTTTATGTTTGTGCTTCGTTTCCTTAACTTTGCATGGCTTGTGTTACGCTGGGGCTCCCCTCATACGTCACACTCCAGGATACCCCAACGACGCTAATGCGCTTCAATTAACTAATACAGTGTGATATAAAAAGACTCAGTATACACCTTACTGATGATGCAAACTATATACAGTTATGTAGAATATGAACGTAACGTGCAAGGTTTCACGCTGTTTCCGTCATATGTTAAAGAAATGCTGTGGTATATCAGTCTGGCGAGTAAACTAAAAAATGTACTAGCCAATGGTGATTCAATTGCCAAGGTGTCCGTAGAGGATTGTCAATGTTTCAATAATTTAAACACATTTGCATGTTAACAGTTCTGTGATGTCTGTTTATGGTCACATGCAGGTAAACTAATAAAATATATTTTTATAACATAAAAATATACAAATACAAAAAATACAAATAAATAATTTTTAAATTTTTCATTTTAAAAATGTTAATTAATTTGATATTTTTATCATTTAATTCTCTTTAAAATGTATAAACCCCAGTTTTTGAAACACTGCTATAACTAGGGCCTTATGAAAACAGTTGTATTTTTTCCCCATTTTCCCCCCCATTTTAATGGTTAAATAAAATTTTAGTAATGAAAACCATGTCTAAATAATTGAAATCATGAAACTTTAACAATTTAATAATTTATGAAACTTTTTACAATAATACGGCCCATGAAATGTTTGAATTTTTTTTTCCGAATTCTGTTTTCCATTTCAAATTTTTAATGGTTTAATTCAATTTTAGTTATCAAAAAGCATGTTTAATTATTTGCGTTCATAAAGCTTCAACAATTTAATAATGTATACAAAATTCTACAATAATAGTGCCCTATTAAATATATATATATATTTTTTTTTCTTTTTAGAAATTATGTGTTGTCTCTTTTATTTTTTCTGGGTTTATTATTGAATGCAAATTTATTATCAAAAGTGGTTTTGGATATAAAAAACATTAACAGTTTAATTCATTTAAAAAAAATGTAATCAAATGAAAATGTAACAATTCCTAGTATTTTTTATGGCAAACAAAAGACTGGTTTACAGTTCAAATGGAAGAACATGGAGGAAAAATTGTGTGGCATTCTTTAAAAAAAATGTTTAATATTAATACTGTTGCTTTTTCTACTGTAGTGTTATATAGTATTATATTTCTGTCACAATTTCTTCAATTTAAACTAAGACAAAACTGTGCAGAGACACGCAGACGTCATATTTAATTCATGTTTCATCAACTTTACAATATGAAAATCTGTTTATTTCTGTGAAGCTGCTTGGAAACTGTCTGTATTGTATATAAAGCATATAGAGATAAATGTGACTTTATACAGTCGTCTCTCCTTCATCCTCTGTGTTCAGCATCATTTAATATCCTGGTTCTCCAGCGCTTCATTAGCTGCTCATGAGTTAATAGTGTAATTAGTTTCTCTCCTCACGCTGAGCATCCGAACACATCCACACCACTGCTGGAGAAATTAAAACTAAATTATTCAATAAAACCGTGTGAATACAGCATGTCAAGATCCACAGAATCTGTGCCACATTTCCACACAATTCATCTGCCACAATCATTTATTTCTAAATATTATCTTTGAGTATGATTATTATGATTACTTTCTTTTCATTATAATTGCATTTGGAAAGAGTTTTGCATAAATGTTGAAATTAATTACAAAGTGTAGGGTTTTAATTGGATCATGGTTTTTTACTTTCAGGTCTGATTAACATATTTTACCATCCGCTTGAATAATTACACAGAATTTCCCCCACAGAAATTATGAAAAGGTATATGTGACCCTGGAGCACAAAAGCAGTGTTAAGTCGCTGGGGTATATTTGTAGCAATAGCCAACAATACATTGTATGGGTCAAAATTATTGATTTTTCTTTTATGCCAAAAATCATTAGGATATTAAGTAAAGAACATGTTCCATGAAGATATTTTGTATGTTTCCTACCGTAAATATATTAAAACGTAATTTTTCTTAAGTAATATGCATTGCTAAGAACTTCATTTGGACAACTTTAAAGATGATTTTTCTCGATATTTAGATTTTTTGCACCCTCAGATTCCAGATTTTCAAATAGTTGTATCTCAACCAAATATTGTGCTATCCTAACAAACCATACATCAGTGGAGAGCTTATTTATTCAGCTTTCAGATGATGTATACATCTCAATTTCACAAAATTGACCCTTATGACTGGTTTTGTGCTCCAGGGTCACATTTATATTCTGTGTGGATCTGAATATATATACGCTCCAGTATGAGATTCTATACAAAATACTATTATACCTCCATGGTTTTTACAGTAGAGCCATCATACTGGATTTATAGTGAATGCGCTAATCATTCTGATACAGTATTTTCCTGAGGTTATGTAATATTTGAACGTGTGTGTGATGGCAGGAGAGCAGGCGGGTGAAGAGAGCATCACACAGATCCTGAAGAAAGCTCACGACAGCAGAAAGAAGGCAGAAAACGCCACTAAAGACCTTCTGACGCGACTAGACGGCAGCTGCGGCGCTGCGTTTGCTGTTACCAGCTGCAGCGTTCAGCCCTGGGAGAGTCTCTCATCCAACAGCCACACCAGGTAAACAACTCAAATATTTCATCTTTTTTAGTAAGTGCTTTATTTTGATTGTTGCTATTTTAAAAATGATGTAATTTTACATTAGTTTAATTCATTATTAGCTTTTAATTAAACTTATGGAAAAACTTGATGTGATTTAATGTTTGATGCACTTCATGTTGTTAATAACAATGACTGGAATACGTTTTCTTTCTCTTTGTATTTTTTATATCAACGTGGTACAAGATTATCTTATTTAAATCAATGTGATAAACGAGTTAGGTCAAAAGTAATCCAAAAGTAGTCTGATTATCTAAAATGTGTAATGTAATAGATATCACCTGGTGTGGCTGGCTATATAGCCAATAAAAAATAAATAAATAAAGAGAAATAAATAATATATTTTTATTTATATTATTATATAAATAATATATTTTAATAAATATATTTATTTTATATATTAACAATTGAAATAATTGTACATAAATTTAAAGCATATGTAAAAAAAAATTCAACTATTTATAATAATTATTTTAATTATATAGAATTTCTTGCAGCCACAGAAGGTAAGAGCATTTACATAATAATAGAAATAATTCCATGTTTTTAATTCATATTTATTTATTTTTCAATTTCGTTTTATTTCACACACACACACACACACACACACACCCGGTCCACCCCACAACATCATCACAGTCAGATGCACACTCCAAGAGCAAAGGAAAGAAAACTGAGCTCAGATCTTATTATAAATGTATGACTATTTGAAAAAGAACTCTGATCAAAATTAGAGAACACTGACAGATCCCTCCAAGTTATTGGTGTTAATCTGGGACCTGGTGCTAATTACCTTAATTATATGACAAACCCTATTTAACTGGCAGCATTTCTCCAGATTTCACTGCTGCTCTAAAGTGACTGAAACGCTGCGATAGCGTTTGTCCAGATGAAGGCTAAAGGAATGAGCCTTTCAAACACTGCAAGAGAAGTTGATCATTCCAAATCTGTGATTTCTAGAATATTGCAGGTTTACAATGACACTAATTCATTCAAGTCCCACAAAAAGACTGGTCGTCCGTGTAAGACAAATGCACGAGAGGACAGGATAATGCGGAGACTCTCGATGGGGAATCGGTTCAGCACTGCAGCTGGAATTGCTCGCCATCAGCAGAAAGAATCAAAAGGCTAGACTCACATTTGCTGAGGAGCTTATTGTGTGGAGAGAGGAGAACAGGTCCAAAGTTCACTTTAGTGATGAGAGCAAGTTTAATTTATTTGGGTCTGATGGGAAACATTATGTTTGGAAACCTGGGGAAAGACTGAACCCCGATTGAGTAAAGAATCAGTGAAAGGTGGAGGAAGTGTCATGGTTTGAGGGATGGTTTCTGCAGCAGGAGTTGGGTCTCTTATACAAATTATAAATTTTTCTTTTATGCCAAAAATCATTAGGATATTAAGTAAAGATCATGCTCCATGAAGATATTTTGTAAATTTCCTACCGTAAATATATTGAAACTTAATTTTTGATTAGTAATATGCATTGCTAAGAACTTCAGTTGGACAACTTTAAAGATGATTTTCTCAATATTTTCATTTTTTTGCACCCTCAGATTCCAGATTTTCAAATAATTGTATCTCAGCCAAATATTGTCTTATCCTAACAAACCATTTATCAATGGAAAGATTATTTATTCAGTTTTTAGATGAAAAAATGACCCTTATGACTGGTTTTGGCATCCAGGGTCACATATGTATTACAGATATAATTAACCCCTTCTCTTGCATGGATGGGTGAGGAGTTCTTACCCAGAACAGAACCATACCGACCAAACCAGTATGGCCAAATAGACCATAACCAGACCAACTGTATGCTAATTATG